TGGCCACCCCTGCAGCAGGAGCCCAGGAGAAGGGTCTGATCCGCTGAGCGCCATCCCCCGGAACGCGGGCAGCACGGAGCAGTAAACAGCCTCCAGCCTGGCTGCTCACCGCCCCCCACCCCCACCACGCTCGACTGCTGCGCTTAGTGGCCCGGAGCCAAATCTCCGCATCGTTTCACTTATTAATGAGCTTGGTGGATGGGGCATTCGGGGACAGATGCTCGTCACTTGCTGCCTGGGTGGCTTGTTTGTGTTTTGGGCACACGTCTTTGGGGGGGGGGCCGATCCGTTCCTGAGCAGTCGAGGTGCATTGCGAGGCGTTTTCCAGTGAGCCGGCTGGTCCAGGCTGCGGTCCTACCAGTGCCCCCCAAACTCCTCAGGGATCCCCAAATCCAGGGTTTCTCCCATAACACCCCCCACTCCAACCCCTGAGGGGGATCCGCCTGAACCCTGGATTCCCCACCTCACCCCATAAAGGGATCTACCAAATCTGGGCTTTCTCCTCAGAACGCCCCCAACCCCTAATGGGATCCCCCCGAATCCAGGATTGCCCCTCACCCCACCCGCTCACTTGTACCCCGCCTAGGTTCTGCCCAAGCCTCATATTTCCTTTCCCGTCAACCTCCTGAGCCACTGATTTCCCCCCACGCCCTTCACAAAAAAGTTGCTATAAATATTCCAGTGTGTTTAATATTTAACTCCCCCGAAGGAGATCGTTGCTGGGCAGAGTCCAGGTGGATTGTTGGGGCAGTTTCTTCCGCAGCAGGGCTATTGCCTGGGCCGGGGAGCTCACCCCGGGAGGGTGGGTGATGTGCGCTTGGAGTCAAGGGTGTGTCCTTACCCTGTCCCTGGCATCCAAGCTCCTCCCAATCTTCAGTATATTTACCCTCCTCACATCCCTGTGAGCCAGGGCAGTGCAGTGCCGTGATCCCCGGGTCACGGATGGAGAACTGAGGCCCAGACAGACCGAGGGGACATCGATGCTGTCATTAGACACTGCGGCTGGCTCGTGCCAGCTGACCCGGGCTCGCGGGGGCCAGGGTAAGGGGCTGTTCGGCTTGGAGATTGCTCGGGCTGCAGTCTGAGCCCGAACGCCTACACTGTAATCAAACAGTCTCTTAGCCCGAGCCCTGCGAGCCTGCGTCGGCTGGCACGGGTCAGCGGCGGGGGAGTAATTGCCGTGTAGACGCACCCTAGGTGACCTTTCCAAGGTCACGCAGGGAGTTTGTGTCAGAGCCAGCGCCTTAACCATTGGGCCATCCTTCCCCTCACTTTGCTCCCCCATTGGTGGAGATGGGCCTCACTCGAACCCCCCAGATCTGAACTATGGGGTCCAGTCCAAACTGTGCAGCCTGGACCCGCCTCCTTTCTGCTCCAGTCTGAGACCAACTCTCTTTTCCCACCTGCCCCTTTAAGAGCCCTGGAGCCAGTGCCAATACCCTTAAAGGGACAGGATCCTGGGGGTGGCGGCATCTGTTCCTCGATTAGGGTCACTTCTCAGCAACCCGGGAGCGAGCCGGGCACGTGGGACAGGGCAGGAGGCCAGTTGAGTTGCAGATGGCAGAGCCTGCGGCTTGCTCGCCCTCCCCATCCGGAGTCTCCACCCTAGCCCATTTCTACAGCCACATCCGTCTCCTGCCCTCCTGGGAGGTGCTGGGAAATTCTCGGGTGTTTGTTTCTTTAAGGGGAAAATGCACCTTTTTGTCGCCTGTTACCAGTCGGGGTGGTGGTGGGAGAGTGGGGGATCTCATGGCTGCCTGGGTGATCAGCCATTTGCCTACAGAGAGGGGGCAGGGCAGGGGGCAGTGGTGATGAAGTGGCTAATAGCCAGACTCAAATCGGCCCCGTTTTAGGGGGTTAGGAAGTGGCCTTTCTCCCAGGGGTCCCCAAGCAGGATGACTTTACTCTGACCGATCTCGGGGTCACGCTGATTGCCAGATTTGGGGTCAGGAAGGAATTTTCCCCCTGGGCTGATTGGCTGGGACCTTGGAGTTTTTTGCCTTCAGCTCGGGGCGTGGGTCACTTGCTAGGTTTATCTGGGCGTCTCTCACCTAGTCAATTCCCTGCGGTTGCAGGGGGCTCGGGCTCTGGTGGCCCCGCAGGCTCTCCTGTTCTCTGCTTGGGGCTCACAACAGTTTAGTCTGCCGAGCGCTGGCTAAAGTGGAACTGAAGTCATTGGGCTCAGGGCATCTATCTGGGTGACAATGGCCTGTACTTTACAGGAGCTCAGACAAGATGAGCTAATGATCCTTTCTGGCCTGAAACGACATACTCCTCATTGGCCCGAGGGTGTCTCAGAAGGACAAGGGCCGTGGGGGGGCGGCGGGAGGGGCTGTCACTGAGACCTCCCCATCCCTCATCCGTTTGCCAGCGCCCCGAGCAGCTCATTCTGGGCAGCTACGTGGCTGATTCTTCTCTAAAGATGGTCACAGCTTGGGAGGGAGTGTGCCAGGCTGAGGGTGGGTGAATCCTGCTGGTAGGGTCTGGGTCAACTCTATGCCCTGGCAGAGGCAGGGGTAGGGGAGGATCCATCCGTAATCTCGTCCTCAGGGAGGGAATCTGTGGGCCGGGGGAAGATCGGACCCTGGGGGGTTTATGTGATGGGATCGGGTCAGGGACAACATAGGTCACCCGTCCGTTTGAGCGCTGGTTACAGCCCCGAGGCCGGGCACGCCGGCTGGCGGCAAAGGCCTCGCTTGCATCTGCGTTGCCTTGTAGCCGTGCTTGACGTCCGCCCCTGTGGCTCTTTCTTTTTCTTCTCCTCCTCCCTCCGTCTCTGCCCCTCTTCCTTGCGCTGGGATTCTCTTGCTTTCACCCTGCCCTCTTCTCCCCCACCCCCCTTTCTTCCCCCAGCCATGCAGCAGGTGCTGGACAACCTGAGCGACCTGCCCAACTCCACCGGGGCGGCCGACCTGGATCTCATCTTCCTCCGCGGCATCATGGAGAGTCCAATAGTAAGATCCTTGGCTAAGGTACAGTCGCATGGGGTGGCCGGGGAAGGGGCAGCGGCTGAGTTTGAACCTGCTTTTCCGGATCGAGTGCAGCATCCCCTGTCCCCATCTTCCTGCCGCAGGCACCTCTGTTACAAAGTCGTCCCTGGTGTTCCCTGCCTGGCACCCCCATTTCCATGTGGGGGGCTGGGGTAGCTGCTACCAGGCCAGGCTCTTCTGGGTGTGGCTGGGAATATGGGAGCAGCTGATGTCTGGCCTGGCCCCAGCTCTAGTTTTACTGCCCCTGCACTGGTATAGAGGGTCACCACCTCCTGTGGCCTTGGGCTGCAGCTGGGCTCCCCCAGGCCCCTTGCCCAATCTCATCCAGCTGCAAAGTGCACAGGTCTGGAGCCGGGGGTCGTGAGCGTGGGTGCGTGTGCAAGGCGTGTGCGCACGTGTGGCGTGTCAGCGTACGAGTTGATTGGGTGGGGGTGACGTGTGTGTAACTGGGAGGAGGTGGGTGGGAGACTCTGGGAGTAGGTTTGTGTGTGTGTGTGTGTGTGCGCCGACTGGTTACACTTTGGTGCATGCTAGTTACATGGGTGGGTGGGTGTGCGCTCATGCCTGCCTGTACGTTGGCTCCTGTGTGTGTGCGCGTGCGTGTGTACGCACACGGGTGCCCGCCTGTATGCTGGCTCCAGCCTGTGTGTTTGTGCACGCGCCTGTGTGCTGGCTCCAGTGTGTGGGTGTGAGTCTGTGTGTGACAATATTATTTTTAGGTCCCGTCTGTGCATCGCTCCCCTGGGTGCCCAGGCAGCAACCTCCCACCCTGCCAGCCCCCGTCACTGGCACCGACAGAGCGGGAGAGGACAGGCACCAATTCAAGCAGGCTAAAGATGGGCTGGATTGCTAGGCTGCTCCCAGGCTTGGGCTGCCGGGGTCCCGCTGGGGGCTGGGTGCCGAGCCTGGCAGGGGGCTGGCGATGCAGTGCCGGAGGCACACGCCCAGGGGGCTGGGGGCACTCAGGAGAGGGAGATTTCTGCTCCCTAGAACCCCCCCCCCCCGACTCTTCTCTCACCACTCCTCTGCCCAGACCACCCCCTGCCTCTCCCGGAGGGCTAGTGGATGGAGGAGGTGTGTGTGCCTGCCTGGATGCTGGCTTGTGTGTGTGTGTGTGTGCATATTGGCACTCTGTGTGTGTGTGTGTGTCCCCGCGTGTGCCTGCCTGGATGCTGGCTTGAGTGTGTGTGTGTGCATACCAGCACTGTGTGTGTGTGTGTGTGTGTGCGCGCGCACACCCGCTCTCTGTGTGTGTGTGTGTGTGTGTGTGTGTGTGTGTGTGTGCATACGAGCACTCTGTGTGTGCACGCGTGCATACCAGAACTCTGTGTGTGTGCGCATACCAGCACTCTGTGTGTGTGTGTGTGTGTGTGTGTGTGCATACCAGCACTGTGTGTGTGTGTGCATACCAGCACTGTGTGTGTGTGCATGCATACCAGCACTCTGTGTGTGTGTGTGTGTGTGTGTGTGCGCATACCAGCACTGTGTGTGTGTGTGTGCATACCAGCACTGTGTGTGTGTGTGTGCATACCAGCACTGTGTGTGTGTGTGTGTGTGTGTGCATACCAGCACTGTGTGTGTGTGTGTGTGCATGCATACCAGCACTCTGTGTGTGTGTGTGTGTGTGTGTGTGTGTGTGTGTGTGTGTGTGTGTGTGTGTGTGTGCATACCCAGCACTATAGGGCGAACAAGGAATACAGAGGGAGGGGGGGTGCATGCAAGATACCAGGAGACCTGATCAGCTGCTGTGACAGCTGGCGTGGCCGAGTCTCTGCGGATTCCCGCCCCCCCCTTCGCATTTTGCTGGGCTGGGTGGGGCTGGCCTCGCAGACGGGCACCTACCGCGCAGCCGGACGGGCCCCTTGCCCCCCGCCATCCTGTTGTTGCCTGGGAGCAGATGCTGGGGTATTAAGCACCATGTGATCGGACATCTGTGTCACAGGGCGGGGCGGGGGGCCTGGTTTGGCCTCACAAGCCCCCCCGTCTCTTCCTTTCCGCGCAGGGCTCGGCGTCTGGGGCTCGCCAGCCGGGGGCTCCAGACGGATGAGGTTAATGGGGGTTTGTTTGTGCTCTCTCATCCCCCGCCGCAGGCTCACGAGCGCCTGGAGGAGACCAAGCTGGAGGCCGTGAGGGACAATAACGTGGAGCTGGTGCAGGAGATCCTGCAGGACATCGCCCACGTCGCTGGGAGCAACAGCGCGGCCGCCGAGCTGGCAGGCATCCTGCAGGAGCCCCACTTCCAGGTGCCGCCGCGGGGCGCTGGGGGGGCTAAGCATTCCCCTCTGGCTGCGTGTGTGGGGCAGGGGGTCTGGCTGGGATCTGGGGGGTGGGGCTGGCCAGGGTCATGCCCCTCTGGCTGTGTGTGTGTGGTAGGGGGTCTGGCTGGGATCTGTGGGGTGGGGGGGCTGGCCAGGGTCATGCCCCTCTGGCTGCGATCTGGCTGGGGGGCAGAGGGGCTGGCCAGAGTCACGCCCTTCTGTCTGCATGTGTGGGGCAGTGGGTCTGGCTGGGATGCGGCGGGAGGCTGGCCAGAGTCACGCCCCTCTGGCTGTGCGTGTGTGGCAGGGGGTCCGGCTGGGATCTGGGGGGTGGGAGGCTGGTCAGGGTCACGCCCCTCTGGCTGCGTGTGTGTGGCGGGGGTCCGGCTGGGATCTGCAGGGCGG